TATAGCATTGCTACTCTTTTAGGTATTCTCAGTGTTGTGTGGGAGTTTGTGTTGGGGAAAGGAAGGAGCTTTAACTGACCTTCTAATAGTGGGTCTTCTGATAATCTAATTGGTAGATTTGTTTTTTTGATATAAAGTTATGTTTTCTGATTTACAAGATTTGAGCCCATACTGTCTTTGGCCCCCACATGGGCATATGGATTCTCAAAGGCAGAATCATTGTTCTAGTGTCTGATTTGAGGTAAGACCATCTATCAAACACAAAACCCATCTAATATTCTTTGCCCCACAGCTTCACTCATTTTACACATTCCTCAAAATATTGCCTAAATCATGCCCCTCTATGCTTTCCCCAGTTGGGATTACAGTAGTGTATGTGTGTTTTAAAGAGTAGAGCGTTGTTACAGATTGCATTTATTCTAGCATTACGTGATTTTAATAAAAAGCATTTGAGCTGAGCCAATATCATCCACAGTTTGAAGCTACCATGTGGTAGTTACATAATTACATAATCAGGTGTCAATTTGAGAGGATTACGAGTGAAGGGGTGGAGTCTGGCCTGTCAGTCAGGATATAACCAATGAGGCCTCTGTGTGGTCATGGCCTTCGTCTGAGAATTCTGGGAACTCCTGTATTTTCCTTCTTGCAGGTGGGAGCACTGTTTCTCTCTCCGCTCACTCCCTGAGAGACACTCTACTGACAAGACACATGTTGCTATGCCCTGGGAGCTGGTGAAGCCAATAGACCTACCTGATGTGACCAGACCTCTGGAGCTGAGAAGCCACGTAGAGACCCCTGCCAGCACGGAGATGCTTGCAACACCACTGGATCCACAAGACTTCCAACCCGCTGGCCTGTGATCCTCCTGCATTCGGAGTCATTGCATGTGTTTCATATGTCTGAAGAGGGCTTTATAGATTGGTATCGGGCATATGGGCTAATATTGGACTTAGGGACTTGATCTGGGCTGGGCTGGGACATTTTCTCAACATTCAATTGCTCTTGTATATAAATCTTTCTTACATACATATGAGTGTCTATGAATTTTTTTTCTCTTGTCTACCCAGACTAACACACCAGCAGCTCTGGGCTAGGGGCTTTCTACTCTGGCAAACAGTTAGCAGCCTTGGAACCCCACAAGGGGGTCATAATGTAGTCAGCATTGATTGCAGTGAGACTGCGAGGTGGTGGTTAGCGCTGGGCTGCCATCCCCATGGCCAACAGTTCGAAACCACCAGCCAATCGATGGGAGAAACATGGGGCTTTCTACTCCTAAAAGAGTTTTGGTCTGGTAAACCCACAGGGGCAGTTCTACCTTGTCCTACCGGGTCGTGATGAGTGGGAATTGACTCCAGGACAGTGAGTG